GAAGCATTTAAAGGATTAGAAGGATATGAGCTTTAATCTAAGGGTCCTTTGGTTTGCAGTCGGAATCGGAATTGGAATGGTCCATTCCCATAATCTGTTTGGTTCAAACAGGAATGAGAATGGGAATTAAAATCAACAGGAATAGGATTTCATTCCCAAAGGAGGGGCAGGGAATGGCCATTCCCTCAAATGGGGGAATGTCATTCCAACAAGAATAGGAATGGGATTCCGATTTCACCCAAATAAACAGTTAGAATTGGAATAACCCATTCCGATTCCGATTCCAGACCCCTATTCCTGCAAATCAAACAGGGCCTAAAATGTAATATACCAGACAACGGTGAAAGATTGGGCAACGTGGCTGCTGACTTTGATTGGCAGGAAAAAAATTATTATTAGTTAATACAGAAGAAAAAATTAACTCCCAGTACTCCTCCATTATCTTAATGGTAACGTGCTTTTTTTTCCTTCACGTTTCTTTAACAGCAATTGATTTGGTGCCATTGTCAATTTGTGGTAGAAAATCAATGACAGTTGAGATAATGACATTACAAGTAAAGATAGTGAAGGGGTGTTTTTTTTTTCTTTAATTTTGTTTTATTATACAGATTAGGAAGAAGAGGGACCATTAATTGGTTGGTGGTCTACTTGTGTTTAAGAACTAATTAAAGTCATATGCCAAAGAGTAAGTACTACTTATTCTTTCCTATCCAATCCATTAAAAAGCTTGAATGGAGGCTGAACTATGCTTGCTTCATCTTTTCAACCATCCTAATCTAACAGCTTAATGTGTGACCTAGTCTTGCTTCATCAATTGGATCACAATATAATCCACATATAGCAATGGAAGTTGGAATGGGTGCTCATGAAAAATTCAACTGAAACCCATAATTGAAAATAAAAAAATCTGGTTAATCGAACTAGTTGGTTTGGTTTAAATTAATCTATTAGACTCAGTTTGGAAAGAGTACAAATGCAAATATATATAGTGCAAATACATATAAAATATAAGCTTTTTACACTACATATTTGCATTTATACTGAACCGATTGAATAGATTCATATGCTTCTAGGTTGCCTCAATCCAACTTGTCAGTTTGATTTCGATTGACCTATTAAGCTCCTGCTTGATATCACTTATTGAAAGTATTTATTTTAAATAAGTGATGGGATCGCATCATAAGTGATAAATAAGTATTTATGTGTGTTTGGCAAAAAATGAGCAAATAAGTGTTTATTTTTTAAATAAATAACTAAAAAAACGTTATCCAGGGGCTGTTTATTTTAAGCATTTATTCAATAAACACTTATTCCATTTATTCGAATGCCCCCAGTTCAAAAAAAAAAACCATATATAAAATCTCCCTCTTTTTTTGCTTTGAACATTTTTTTATGGATATAATTGTCATTTCTGCAAATATAAATATAAATACTTATTGATTGATATCCACACTCGACACTGTCCAATAAAATAATAACGAGGTGGAGGTAGAAAATAAGAAAAAGAGACAAGTGGTTAACCGATAAATAATTATTCTCACTTTTATATCTTTTAATATTTTTGCGTACGCCAGCCAGTCTGACGTATATCCCTTATCCCTATTAAATTTTAATAAAAGAGGAAGACTTCACTTCCCTTTGGTCAACTCTATTGTCTAATTTTCTCGTTCTGAAAAACCGAAAAGTATGCAGAATTTTGAATTCCAGTCCCCCTATTAGTAGCCCTTTCCCCTTATAAATCACATCATGTCCGTAAATCTGATATCAATTCACGGTCAAGATGTATTTTCCTATACTTTAAGATTATAAAATTTTAATCTGGGCTGATTAATCATTCTCCCAAAAAAAAAAATAAAGAAGATGGGGCCAGTCTGGACAGGTCGTGCCAGTCTGGCCCAGAATTCTTCAAAAGGAAAGTCCTGTAAAACCGGCAGTATGAGCCCAGGTTTGTATTGGGCCGTGAAGACATTATTTAAAAAAGTTTAAAAAAATATTAAAATAAATTAATAAGATAAAAAAATTGAAAGAAAAATCTTAAAATTTTATTTTATATGAATTTTGATATATGTTAATACATGATGAAACGTTAGAAATCTGAACTGGAATAACGACAATTATATTCTTCTTTGATGATAAAAAAGAAAGAAAAAAAGAAGTTTGATTGCTGTATTTTAATTCTTTGGAATAAAGATTTTTATTAAGGGAGGAAATTACTAACTAAAGTGGTCTCCATTATATAAATTCTAGGTATTACAATTCTGATAGATAATCTATTCCATCTCCATAGTCTGCGTCATGTACTACGATAACGCCAGCCAAAATAGACCATGTAGAATGATTCTGCCGTTCTGCGTCAAGCTTCAGTCGGATTATTACATTACAAGTTTACAATGTATGAATAAACACCACATTAGACCAATGATACTATGAGTACGAGTGTAAATGGATTCATTCAAATTAAAATCAGTTTGGACAGATTGGGACAGATCAATAAGATATATTGAATTGGATCAATCTAGATTTAATGGTCCAAGGTATTTATTGGATTGAATTAGATTGGACTTGGTCCATCCATAATGTATTTATATTGGATTTAGTCGGATGATCAGGTTTGGATTGGATTATGACATGTGGCTTCACAAACCTGATGGGCAACAATTCAACTCCACGTAAGCAGGCTTCAGAAATATGACGGATACCTCGCATCCATCGTTGACTCCTTGGCCCCACCTTGGTAGGTCAGCCTACAACTAAATCAGCCAGTATCAAGTTGGTGTACGAGGCAACTTGCCTTTGTCGACCTAGTAGATACACGACCCAGCCTCGGCAAGCCAGATTGGAAATAGGTTGGTCAACAATAGGTCAATGTAGGAGGCAACTTGACTCCGCCGACCTAGTGAAGATTTAGCCAGTGGCCCATGTGGCGCAACGAGTGACCTCCTCGAGTAAGCTGCTGCTTCCGGCCTTCTCAGGATCACGGTGCCACATTGTCGGAGCTAACTACTGCCTCGCCTAATTCGAGCATGATTGGATAAGTACTTCCCATTTATGCGGAGTCTACCTTTGGGCACAAAACCACCTCCGAACTAGATAGGCTGGAGATCTCAGATATGGTTCGTAGAACTCATGGCAACCTGCCTATATAAAGACATCCCCTTTCACAGAAAAGGCATGCGAGATTCAGCACGAACAGCTCTTTTATTTTTAAGCTTTTTAATTTTCACAACTTATTACCGACTTAAGCATCGAAGTGTCCATCTTAGATAAAGCAATCTAGATACTCTGTTAGATAACCTACTCGATTCGACGTTCGAAAAAAAATTGAAAATTTCAAAACCTTGACAATATATCAATCAAAGTAAAAGTTGCAATAATAAGTGTACCTTGGGGTTTGAATTGAATGAATTATGAATTGATTATCCAAGGAAGGAGGAGGCGTTGATTAGATCTAGATCGCCCCTCCGTGTCTGCATAATTGGTAGTTGGTTGAAACTAGAAAAAGGCGCCCAGAAATGGGTCCAACCGTGTCCAATTGCTAGTAAGGCGGCGGGTTCTGCCTCTGCCCGGCCCCACAGTATATTATAATCTCCTACTTTACGCCATAATGCCAAAATGGCATTGACTCCTCCGCAGCGGCTATCCTCGTTTTACCTTCTTTTGAAAGCTGGTGCCTGGTAGCGTATAGACCGTAGGTATAAATTATAAATTCCATTCACCCAAAATAAACAATTCTCACTCTATAAATCCTTTGATTTGATCTGGGACCCAAACCGTTTTGGTTACTGCTTTCTGAGTTAGGAATTCGACCATACACAGCCCGTTTCAAATTAAAAATATAAATGGCTAAATATCGTTCTTTGAGTCAAATGGATTGGCGGTTTAATCAATGGGTTACTGAGTAAGTCAATAATTTTTTTTTTTTGTTTAAGAATGAGTTAAGGGTGAAACGGAATTAGTGATTCTTTGGCCGAATGATCCAACGAATTAGGTCAATAATGATTTGAAAATATTACTTTTTGTCGTAATTAAAATTTGGCAAACAGATAAAAAGAATAAAAGAGACTGAATTGAAGTGAGCAGTTTAACTGAATTATTTAGGTAAACCTGTAAAAAGGGGAGAGCTAAGGTATGTTTCTCAAATAAGGTTTTTGATGTTTTAGTTAATAAGCAAGATATTGTCAAACCGAGCCGAAAAATGCTGTTCAATGAAATGAGAAATGCAAAGAACTAAAAGGGTATTGTATAATGTGCACCTTTTATTTGAAGAGGCCATGCAGGAGAGATGCCATAAAGATCGGCTTCAGTCAGTGTAAAGCGTGTTCGAACAGCTTTTACAGCAGCCTTGCAGGGAGATATTTCCAATATAGCTGTTGGAACGGATTCTGCACTGACTGAATCCGGTTTCGGTGCCATATTGCCAAAGAATCTTAATCCTAGACGGTTGGACCTGTTGGGTCACCAAGAGTGGTCTGGTTCATTTTTTAAGACACGTAATGAAATGAGTTTGGGCCGTGGGAATGAGCCACATCACTCTCTTGTCCTTATCTACAGCTCAAGTTACATGTGAGACAGGTTTAGACTTGGACCTGACCCGGAAAAATGCCTCTACGCCACCTACTCCTACTCTATCATTAAGGATTTTGTGTAAATATCCATCCATCCCCAAGCCTTTGACAGTTACCTATCATTTTTGTCTTATCTTTCGGATCGCAGAAGATTCAGTATTTACCTTTTTGGTAGGTTCCCAATCCTTATTCTTTATTTCTCACAAAGGTCTCCCGAGTTTTGAAGGTCAATTAAGACCAACGCTTACCTTCTATGTTTTTGGGGTTACTGATAGTGCTAAGACCCTGTTTTTAACGGTTTCGTAAAATATCTACTGAAACCTCCCACCCCCTAACAAAATTAATAAAAAATTCAATATCTCCCGAAACTACTTCGCTAACAACCCATATATAATAAGTTTGATTGATTTAAGATCTATATGTATTAGCGTTTGACCACATCTTCTTCTGCATTTCTGAGGATTACTCTGTAGCTCTCAAGCCTCTCTCTCCCCTGTCTCTGCATTCTGAATCCGGTATTATACTTTAGAACTCTAGGAAGAACTGTCACAGAGATTAGTTCTGCAACTCGTTTATTTCGGATTTTCCTTTTAATCAAGCATGGCGGGAGACGAGAACTCTCAGCATAGGCAGCTCGATCAGACGCCCACGTGGGCAGTTGCTGTTGTTTGTGCTATTATGATTATAATCTCTTTAGTGTTGGAGAAGGTTATTCACAAGGTTGGGGAGGTAAGGATGACTTCAAAAATTCGATTTCGTTTTTAATTCGAGAATTAGAGTGGGTTTTCTTCTTTTTCTCGTGTTTCTCACTTGGGTTTCTGAAGAAAATTAATGGGTACCTTTTATTTTTTACTGGTTTTCTGGTTTGTATCTTGAATTCGAGTTGCATAGATTGGCCTTCCTTTTTTTTTTATAATCATTTTTTAGTTTTTTTTTTTTAATTTTGTCTATATTTACATGGTTTATGCCAAAAAAGAGAGGATTGTTTCCATAAAGAGAAGAAATGGATGCTTTTCTACTGTATAGTTAGTTGAAAGAAGACTGTTTTGGGATTTTCCCTTTGAACTTGTCGAGTTATGCACTTGCTCTTCTGTTTTAGATTTTATTTTATTTTTTTTGCCTTGGTTTTGTAGTCTGTTTATTTCCTATATTGCTTGGTTTCTGGCATGTTTTAATTTCCCTGTGTATAGAATCTTCTGTGTTTCCTTCTTCTTTCTTGTTTGTTGTAGAGGAGAAGGAGATTGGTGATTCGTAATCTCTCCTTTCTGTCCTTTTCTCCCTTCATAAATAGACAGAATGTACAAAATTTCTTATTTCCCTGCCTTTTTCAAATTTCAACTCAGTTTTTAGGTGCCAAGTGCTGTTTCACTTTAGTAGCCTACCTGGTTCCTACTTACTGGTCGTGATTTCTGTGTTGTTTTGAATTCAGTGGTTTACAGAAAAACGCAAGAAGTCTATGTTTGAAGCTCTTGAGAAGATTAAAACTGGTAAGAATTGATGTTGAACAGGGGAAGAAAAAAAAGCTTCTTGACTTGTGATGTTTCAGTTGTTCATTCAAGAAACTCTGTTTTCTTTTTTCCATTTTTTAATTTTCCACTTGGACCTGGGTGGTTGGTGCATCAATCACAACCACAATGGCTGACCAACCGTATTCTGGTGAATCTGCAGAGCTTATGGTTCTGGGTTTTATTTCCTTACTGCTGTCATTCTTGGGGAGCTACATTCCCAGAATATGTATTCCAGAGAACGTTTCGCGTGCAATGCTGCCGTGCCCTTATGTAGAACCTCGTCGGAAGCTATTGTGGAATCAGCACAGATTGTTAAAGACCAATTATGGTGGACAACATCAGTGTAACACGGTATTACATTACTTTCACAATTCACAACCCCATCGTTGTTGCTAATCCCTTCAAGCACCCTTCGAACTTAGGTACTTCATTTTATTTCACGGAAGATATCCCCAATTCCTAATGCAAAGCTATAAAGTCTGTTCAGTGCAACTTGCACTGACTGAATCTTTGAATGGATTAGACAGACCACTAAGATAACATTGAATTAGACCAGTTCAAATTTATTGAATTGCATTGGACATGATCCATTTGTAATAGATTTATATTGGATCAGGTTGGATTGGTGTCAATGGATCCAGTATTGAATTGGACCAGTCCAGATGGATGGTCCAATGTATTCATGGATTGAATTGAACCTGATCCATCTGTAATGGACTGGACTTAATCATGACTTAATGAGTGATCAATTGACAGCACTGATCCCCTATACACTACTCGTACCCAAATGTTTAAAATTTGGCTGAAAATGGATGGAATTTCGAATTAGGAAGTTTTAAGTATTTTGATTAATGTATTTTAATAATGTCATTTATTATCCATGGACCATGGAGTAGGGCAAATTATTACTGAATTAGGAATGCGCTACAAATGAATTTACAATTTCGGCCTCTACATGCCAACACCGCCTTTGTTTTTACTTTACAACAAAAAATAATAAAAAGTCAAAAGAGAGTCGAGTTGCCGACAAATATATAAGTGAGCAACGTTAAGCCGGACCCACCAACTGATGGTGTCTTCATTGGTAGGGGTAGCATCTCTGACTCGTTATGGAATCAAGCAAAGATTCCTCCTATTACCAGCTACGGATTTTTATAGGTCAATTCACCCTTATAAATCTATAGTTCCACTTTAAGGGTATACTGAATCCTGACCATAGATTGATGTTAATTTTATGGGTAGGATGCGGTTTCTGAAGGGGATTGTAGTCCAAAAATCTTTTATTAAAATAGCCCTTTCTCTTCTTTCATTGGTTCATACAGTTGAAATCGGAACCAGAATGATCCATTTCCATTGTTTGTTTGGTTCAAAAAGAAATTGAAATAGAAATTGGAATCATTAGAATGGGATTCATTTCCAATAGAGGGAGAGGAAATGCCTATTCCCTGCCATTCTGTCAGAAATAGGAATGGAATTCTGATTCTACCCAATCAAACAGTTTTTCAGACTCCTATTTCTATGAGCCAAGCATACCCTTAATTAATTAATCACTCATTAAATATTCAGCCTGGGAACCATTCAGGCAACTGGTTCCGTTTTACCCCAAATCCGAAATCTGGTCAAAAACCGTTGAAAAAGTCAATAAACTATTGACCTGAGCAGTCGAACTGTTGACCTGTTCAACGGTTTTGACCATTTTTTATTTTTTTAAATTTTTTTTGTTTTTTTTTTTTAATTTTTCTGTCAGAATGGGCCGTCCATTCAAACCAGATGGTCAGACTGTTGACCCGAAAACCGGTGCCTAGAACGGTTATATTTCCGGGTCGTTTTTTAAAACGTTGCCAGAAAGTAACTAGGCACTTAAAAATAACCCCAAACTTTGGGCTTCTCAAATAAGTATTTATTCTCAAAATAAGCACTTATTTTGGGTTTTATTTTCCAAATGCAAATAAATGTTTATTGGTGTGGCCCCAGTCCAAAATAAATGCTTATTTGAAGAAACACTTATTTATAAGCACTCCCAAAGGCTGCATTTGGCATTCCTATTTTAAGGATTTATCTCCTTTTTTGCAGTTAAAAATGCAGTGTTTATAGAAATATTTTAACTGCCAAAAAAAAAAGATAAATCGTTAAAATAAGAAATGCGAAATGCAGCCCTAACCCAAAATGGGAAATGAATGACTTCTTACAAAATAATTTTTTCATGAAAAAAAAATTATTTCCCTAATTTTTGAAAGATGTTTATTTGCATGCAATCAAACCAAACACAATAAAAAATCAATACATGATTTTGTGATCATTATGGTCTTGTTGAATTGATTTGTTGATTCTAAAACAGGGTGAGCCGCTTTTGTCTAAGGAAGGAGTACATGAATTGCACATCTTCATTTTCTTTCTAGCAATCATTCACGCCTTCAATAGTGCTATAACAATGCTGCTTGGAAGACTAAAGGTTAGTCAACTATTGATTCCATCTCCTACTGTTTTCCGATGGATGTAATAAACAATGTTTTCAAAATCGAATCAAACTGGATGGTCCGATCAGAAAAACTGGGAATTGGTCATTGTTTCGGCCCAAAACCACTTTTTGGCCAAAAATCTTTAATTTGGTGAATGAATTATTGACTCGGGTGGTCGAATCATCGACCCGTTGACCCAAACAACAAAATTTGACCACTTTTTGTTAAAACAGGCCATCCGTTTCTGTCTTGTCCGATTTTAAAAGCCTTAGTAATATGTTTTGCTTTGTTTGTTGTTCTGTCTTGTCCGAATTGGTTACACAGATCCGTGGATGGAAGGCATGGGAGCAGGAGACAAAAAGTATTGACTATCAATTTTCCCATGGTATGTTGATGCATTGGAAGGATTTTTATTTTTTAATTTTATTTCGTGTTCTTCAATTGTTTAACTGTTTATTACGAGCTGTGATACATTATAAGGTTGGTGTGATATACACTCTGTGAGGATTAAATCCGATTTTGTTTTCGCATTTGCTCCGAAGTGTATCGATCTCCTGAATTTAATAGTTGTTTTATTGACTGTGGAATCGATCATTTCTCTCTACACCAGCCATAAAATGCATAAACCCATAATCCCTTAAATCTCTGAGTTAGATTATATGACTGATTTGGAGCAAAATAATTGTTCCCACAGCCAGTAAAACAGTTATCAAATTCAGCTAATCCCTTCTCGCTCTCTTATTGTTTAGCTTTCGTTCCCTTATAGTTTATTATAATTTCTGTTGTGAAAGGGTATAACCTACTTGTGCAGATCCATCGAGGTTCAGGCTTACTCATGAGACATCTTTTGTGAAAGCACACACCAGTTGTTGGACCAGAATTCCATTTTTCTTCTATTTTGTAAGAGATTTTTTTTTTAGCTATTTCAATCTTTTCCCATTTTCCCTTTTGTGTTGGAAAGCTTATGTAATTCCATCGAACCCAAACATAACCTAACTGGTGAATTTATTTTTGATGTGGGAGCTATCCCCCTCCCCCACCTAGGGCTGCAAATGGATTGGATTGAATTGGATATAGGTATATAAGAATTTGATTTGTTTACACTGGAATTTGAATAAGATCATATCCATTGGATATCTAGTGGATTCGAATCAAATTAGGATTATAAATGGATATTAAATAGTAAAAATAAATTATATTAAAAATGATCAAAATATTATATATTATTAATAAAATGAGTTGTAAATAACTTTAATATTATATTTTATGGACAAAATGAATTGAAAATTATTTGTATAAAACTTAAATATATGACAATTTAGTAATTATAACATTCAAAACTTTAGGCTTAGTTTGGAAAGAGTACAAATACAAATATGTACAATTCATATATATACAAAGTAATACAAAATACAAGGTTTTGCACTCTACATATTTATATTTGTACTCCTTCCAAACTGAGCCTAATTCTTTCCAAACTGAGATTTAAGTGTGTGTGTGTGAGTGTGTGTGTGTGCGCGCGCGTGTGTATATATATATATATATATATATATATATATATATGGATAGGGATATCCATATTTGATGTAATTATAAATGGATTAAATTCGGATCATCTTTAATGGAGTCAAATTCGAATTTGAATTTGGATAATCTGATACCATTTGCAGCACTACCCCCACCCCCAGAGAGAGAGAGAGAGAGAGAGAGAATAAGTGGATGACTAGGCGTCTATTTGACATCAATACCATTGCTCCAGAAAATGGTGGCACATCATTTACACGTTGGAAAAATCGGTGCTCCAGGAAATGCCAATATGTTTGGAATTGTTTTTCCATAAAAAAATGGTGATCCAAGCCACACCTTATAAATCAAGAAGGCGTGATTTGGAGTAATGCCGAATTCGACATTTTCTCATATTGGAGCTCATTGCTGCCAACAAGGACATGATGTGGTAGTGACGTGGACTTCCTATAATGGATACCAGTGGTGAAAACAGATATGGAGCACTGATACCAAACATAAAGTGCTGCTATTGCTTTAGGAAATGTTCTACCTGATAGCAAACGTTTCCAAACAGAAAAAATGACACTATTTTCTCAAAAAATGATACTTGCAACCCACACATCAACAGCGCTGTTTTCTGCAGCATTGATGCCAAACATATACTAGGTCTCTATTTAGTATGTTGATGGGAAAATTTTCAGGTAACAACCGTTGTTAAAATATCTATCTCTTATGACTCATGCAGGCAAGTTTTTTTCAGCAATTTTTTATGTCTGTTCGCAAGGCAGATTATTTGGCATTGCGCCATGGTTTTATATCTGTGAGTTGGTTCAACTGCAAATTCCTCCATATCCCATCTCCTCACTCATATTAAGATAATCAATACTGTTGCATTTGTTACAGGTTCACTTAGCTCCTGGAAGTAACTTCAACTTCCAAAAATACATCAAAAGGTCGTTGGAAGATGATTTCAAGGTAGTCGTGGGAATCAGGTAAATTAGTTTATTACTCAATTTTACGAAGCCAATTTTAATTTACATTACAAAAAAAGCCACTCTGTACCTCTGCTGCATACTCTCTTGACGATTTAAGTTCATTAATCATTAAGATGATGATGTCTGGTGCAGTCCACTCTTGTGGGCTTTGGCTGTGGTCTTTTTGCTTATTAATTTCATCGGTGAGCTATTAATTTCTGTTACATAAATTAAACTCCATTTTGATTTATTTATTTATTTTTTTTTGCTTTCCACATTTAAGGAAGATCACATCTTGCTCACTGATAAAATTTAATCAATTTCAGGAGTAAAGGCATTGTTTGGGCTGTCCATAATTCCTCTATTTGTAAGCATTAATCTCTTCAATGTTAGATGATTGACATATTGATCTTTCCAATTAGGTAATGAAGAAATTCTGAACAATATTGTGTTGAATGCAGATAATCCTAGCAGTAGGAACCAAACTTCAAGCAATTATAACGAGAATGGCTCTTGAAATCCAAGAAAGGCATGCAGTGGTTCAAGGGATTCCTCTAGTGCAACTCAGCGACAAACACTTCTGGTTTGGTCGGCCTCAGCTGGTTTTGTATCTCATCCATTTTGTTCTCTTCCAGGTATTTGTTGCTACTTTGTTTCTATACAATACCGTAAGTTACAAGTAGGTATGCTATGGTGTTACTGGCATGGTTTTCAAACTGCCCTTGATCCGGACGGTTGGACTGTTCAGCCTGGGAACCATCCAAGCAACTTCCGTTTTACCTCAAATCTGGTTCCTGGCCAAAAACTGTTGAATCGGTCGATAAATCATTAACCTGGGCGATCGAACCATCAACCAGTTCAATCTGTTCAATAGTTTTTAGCCGTTTTTTAAATTTTAATTATTTTTAAAATTTTTAATTTATTTTGTCAAAATAGGCTGTCCGTTCGAACCGGACAGTTGAACCATCGACCCGAAAACCGATGGCCAAAACAGTTCCGATTCCATGTCATTTTTTAAAACATTGGTAACTGGTAAGATATAGGCAATAGGTTTAGCAGAATTTTTATCAGTCTAAAACATAAGGGCTTATGGCCTGTAGCTAGGGCTATCAATGGGTCAGGTCTATCCGATGGATCCAAACCGATCAAATCGATTATAATGATTCTGACTCTATGGTTTTGTTCCAATTAATAATTGGACCAGTTTCAATTCTTGTCAGTCTTGAACCCATTTGGACCGAGAACAAATTATTTTATTAAATATATATAATATTTTCTTAATTTTCTTATAATTTTTTTATATTTTATGTTTGAAATTATAAATTTGATAGATAATAAATAAGATAATTGGGTCGATCCGACCATTAACCAGGACAGTTCTGATTATGCGATTTTGTCCCGATTTCTACACCCAGACCCAACCCGTTGACAGCCCTAATGGCTGGTGTTGTTGAACAAAAACAATTAATAAACCGTTCTTCTAATAACCAAAGGCACTTTACTTTATATTGATAAAGTATAAAGTTAAAAAGCAAAAAAATCCTATGTAATATATCTTGAACAAGAATTTTAAGATTAGTTTCTATGAACCTCCATTTAAATTTGAGAATAGAATCTACAAAAAAAAAAAAAAAAAAATCAAAGACTAACATGGGCCCCAAGAATGGCAGAATATGGGATGTTTTAGTCTTGTAGAAGGTAACATTGACCCTTGAAAACCCATGAGCAAGCACAGTGATAGGTCCAACCAGCCAGGCCCATGGATAATGGATCCAATTTCAGGCCCGAAAAGGAGAAATAGAAATAGGCAGTGAAAAGATTTTCCTGGTTCTTGGCATGTGAATCCTCACAGAAGTATTTCCTTATATATGTTTGTTTACATTAGTTTTCAAAAAAAAAAAAATGTTTACATTACATTTATATGCTAACTAATGGGCCTAGATTTAGTTCCATATTATATGTAAAATTTCTTTAAAGATTCTCAGATTGATTGGTTGAATGTCATTCTTTTGTGCAGAATGCATTCCAGATAACCTATTTCCTTTGGATACTGGTAATGAAGTGTTCCCCTTTCTTCTCTTCAACACTAGTGTAGTGCATTTTCATTGCTAATTTCATGGTCATTATCTTTATTTTTTCATTGTTTTTCCCAAGCTTGATGGAAATACTTTCTCTTGGTACAGTATGCGTTTGGGACACACTCTTGCTTTCATAAGAAGATCCGTCTTCCAATCATACAGATTAGTCTAGGGTAAGCCCTTAATATCCATATAACATTCACTATGACAATTAATGGCACTAATTGGGCAGCTAGTGATGTCTGTCAATGTCTTTTTACTTTTAATATAGATATGTAATTAAATTAGGGGTCGTTTGGCAAGTTTTTTGAGGAAGATCTTCTAATAACTCTGATAGTTAAAAGATGCATTGATGAGCTTTGTCTTAAGATCTGAGCTCTGAAGTCCGTGTGGTTAAGACATATCTTTCTGTGCGAAGACAAATAAAAAATACAAAAGCTTCATTTGGAGCTTCTAAAAAATCGTCCATTTTGAGCTTTTCACATCTTTTCAGTACATCGGCTTTTGGCAACTAGATTTACCACAAACCAAACAGGAAAAGACTAAATTACAGTCTATCGGGCTTGTAAATAACCAATAGACTGCACAAAAAGGAATGCCAAACGGGGCCTTAACTTACAACTTTGTTGAATTAATTATTGGACGAATTTTCTTGGAGTGGTGCAGTGTTGTAGTCCAAGTCCTGTGCAGCTACATTACACTCCCCCTGTACTCACTAGTAACTCAGGTATATATCCACTTCCTTTTTTTAAATTATTCTGGTTCTTTTTATTTTGTTTCAAGGGTTAAGCAACGTTCAAAGTATTGATATGATATATTTCGTATTGGATATTATGGTATTATATTTTTGGGTATTCGATACAGGTGTTTTGGCGAATTTTTTTATTAAATAAAAACAAAAATGAAGGCATATATGGTTTAAATTACTGATATGTATCGATACAATTTTATGCCCCTCCTTTTTAATTATTAATAAAATCTGTTTTCTTAAAAATAAAGGTTGATGAATAGCAAGTTGTGTTTAGTAGATATAAATTAACCACTGAATTTGCTGTTCAGTTTACAACAAGTTTTCAAAACTATGGTTTTCAAACTGTTGTTGATCTAGACGGTTGGACTGTTTGGCCTAGGAACCGTTCAGATAATTGATTCTGTTTTACCTTAAATTCGGTTTCTGGTCAAAAATCGTTGAAAAAGCCAATGACCCATTGACCTGGGTGGTTGAATTGTCAACCCGTTGACTTATTCAATGGTTTTTGACCATTGTTTTTATTTTTTTATTTTGTCAGAATAAACCATCCGTTTAAACTGGATGATCGGACCGTTGACCCAGAAACCGGTGGCCAGAATGTACCGTTTCCGGGTCATTTTTTAAAACCATGTCCAAAACTTTTTTTTTTTTTTTGTTCTGCTCACCTACATATATATTGCAATTAGGGTTTAACATATATAGTGATTACTGATTACTGATTACCAAGGTGGGAATTTAATTGCGCAGATGGGATCAAGTATGAAGAGGTCTATCTTTGATGAACAAACAACAAAGGCACTTAAAAACTGGCATATGGCTGCAGTGAAGAGGCAGCACGATGAAAGAAAAGGGCGTTCCCCAGCAAGGACACTAGGCCGTAGCCAAGGTGCCTCACCTGCTCATCATTCCCCACCTCGGACGCTTCATCGTTTCAGGACTACTGGGCACTCCAACACTCAGCCTTCGAAATCTGATAGGACATACTACTCGGACCGCGAGATGTCTGATTTAGAACCTGAAGCACCACTCACATCATCCACACCCAGCAACCTAATTGCTGTCCAAGTCCAACAGTCTGAACACCATGACTTACTGACTGGACCTTGAAGATGAGAGGTGGCGGTGATGATCGTTTGGTGATTGCAGACTGACTGCAGTTTGATTGCCGCCGGCAGGGGCCGAAGGTGGCGCCGGCGGCTATCATGCACCTTTTTCAAACGAATGCAGTGATGACTGTGAGTGTATTTTATTACGAGGAATGAAGCATTTCCAGAATCAGATCAGCTAGCTGAATGCTAGTGGAATGTTTTATACAATTTACGGTGTATTTTCTTAATGGTCGAAAATATAATTCTGTCAAGATCTCTTTTGTCTGTGTAAACAGGTCCATTCTTCAGTTCAAGAAATCAGAGTATTTTTTTGATTTATAGGAGGTTTGTTTTATGGATGTTGTCTTCATCCTGTTTTGCTTTATGGCTAGCTTGCACACTATAAGGAATAAGGATATTCCACAATGTCGATATTGTTTGAGTTTTTTTATTTATAAGATGGTTTCTTCTTATGGGTGCTGTTGACAGTTTTTTATGCACTTGATGAAACCATCTTATTATACTTTCTCTTATGCACTTGATGGAATTGGAGTCCCATTCTCATTTTTGATGGAATAGCATTCCCCTCACTCAAAGGAACGGTTATTTCCTTTCCCTCCCTTGGGAATGAAATCCCATTCCAGTTTGATTCCAATTCCCATTCAGATTTTTGTCTAAACCAAACAAACTATGACAAAAGACCATTCTAATTCCAATTCTAAAGGATTTCCATCCAATTCTGACTATGAACCAAATGGACCTCAGTTTGTTGTACTCTTTATGTTTATCTTGTATTTACTTTTTGAATTTCAAAAGTTGTAACAATGGATACCTTGTACAAACTATATATTGAATACAAAGCCCGATGGGCTGGCACTTTTGCCTTCCTATCATTTGTGTTATTTGGTCTCCAATCCCAATTGTTATTTGCACTTGGGTAATGGCCTTGAGGGGTGCAAGCACTTAGGAAGTGTATTGACCTATAAGTGTTTACATTCCTATTATTATATAGCATATATTCTGTTTCAGCCTTATATGTACATTCATTTTACTTAATTGGTTCTACTTTTCTAATTTATTGATCTATTATACATCTATCAATAGAAGTTCAACTTTGTTTCCTCGCAATTAGAGGTGTAAAACGGGCCCTGCTGCCCTCCCCTACGATAATTTGGGGGGTCGGCCCGGCATAATCCACAGCTCAAGCCCATGTTGTAGGCTAGGCTGGCCTGTGGGCTATGTCGGGCCGTGGACCGGACCAAAGCTATTTATTTAAAAAATTAAAAAAAAAACTTAAAATTTTAATTTTATATAAATTTTGATATATACAATTGTTTATATATAATAATTAAATAAATTAATATAATGAAATTGAAAATAATTATTTATTTTATTATTATATTATATACTATATATTATTGTATAATTATAATTTATGTAATATATTGTATATATATAAATATATAAAATATATAAATATGAGCCAAACCGATCCAAATTCATGCCGAGTCGTGTGCAGCACAACCCGATTTACACCTATACTATCAAGCTTGGAAACAATGTCATTATTTCCAAATGGATATAACTAAAAGCAATGTGATAATAAAAGTAGGGGGTGCAACTTGAGCCGACTTGGATTGGGCGAATCCAATTTGCACCCCTAAATATAATTGCTTCTGATGATAAGCTAAGAGAGCATTTTAATTTGCTAGACCCTGAGTAATGGAGTTGAGAGCTCTAAGGATTAACTGTTTGATGCATGGGAAGTCGTTTATACCATTCTCTGTGATAGGATAGGATTAACCATAGTAAAGTTGTAGACAATTGCCTTCCGTCAGTGTGGACTGAATCCTTACATGCAACGATTAAAATTTTAAGTTCTATTTCAGTTTTGAGGAAACCAGAACAAAACCCACATCTATACTTTATATAAAGCAATCCACGTCAGCATGCGTCTCATTTCTCCAAACAATAAAGTAAAGTCATCCACATCTATGATCCGGGAAAGGCAAGGTATTGAAAAAAATTTTGACCAAGCAAAACTCATTTATCAATTTTGATAAATAACAGTTGATTGGCTATCATAGCCCCGTTTGGCATATCTTTTCTTACGGTCTTTCGACTGCTTACAAGTTGAGAAGACCAAAAATCGGTTTATTCTTGTTTGGCACATGGAAGATCTTACCGCCAAAAACCCATTTTGAGCTGATTTCGGGAAGCTTCAGATGAAGTTTCCCATGTCTTCCGCATTTTAATCTCGCACAAAAAGATTTGAAACGACACACGGAAAGATATACGTCTGTCAAACGGTCTTCAGGCTGCCCAGATCTCATATCAAAGCTCAATGCGTCTGTTAAAACTACGAAAAGATATTCTTAAAAAGACTTACCAAACGGATCCCACATTTATGATACTAGTTGATTAGTCAAAAATCTTTTAGGTATTATAAATTTTCTATATCATAGTAGAACCCGTATTATTATATACCCTCTAATTCTGCTGCAAAATGGAGAGGAAAGAGGAGAATAATTAGGCAATTATGTAAGGAATAGGAAAGAGATAAGATGAACATGAGAAAAATGGGGAAAAAAATAAAGAAATCATAATGATAAATGAAAGGACTGACCCTCCATTATCAGCTCTTCCTATTTAATTTTTAATTAAAAAGTAATATATATTTATTTTAAAAATGCGGAATCAAGAAAAATCTTGAGCCCCAGAATTTTATAAAGTCAGAAATTGTACAACCAAGAAAAGGAGTGGATTCACAGTCAGAAATCGCAGTGAATCCATCTATCTTTTTGAGTTTTTTCTTAAACTATTAGATGTTCTGCTCTAAAGCTTATGGTTTCATTCTTACTTTTTCCCTGGTTTCTTCAGGTTATGGCTGTAATTAATGATGGTATTTTTCTTGCTATCAGTTGCATTATGCATGGATTTACATTTACTCGCTAGAATCCAAACAATAATCTTGACTGAATATCTTTTGCTTTTGATATGGAGACAGGTCCCTGTCAACATCTTGGATTAATGCTGTAGTCGTCTATATAAGATATAATATTTTAATTGTACAAAATGCAAGTATCACGACATATCACATACAATCATTTAAGTTATGCTTAGTTTGAAGGAAAAGGTAAAGAAAAGGAAGGTAGGAAATTCTCTACAAAGTTCATAAAGGTTTTTTTGCATTTCTTTTTTCTTTCCCTATTTTTTCTTTTAAACCAAACACAGCCTTACAGTTCTGCACCATTTTCAAAGCCTTTTCCAGTTGTACATTTGGAAACATCTCGGTATTTGAATATATATATTTTTTTGTGAAGATGGTGTGAGATCTTGGACTTGGAAGGATTAAATCAGATTTCTAAATAGGGATCTTGGCCTGGTCCCAAATTGATGTCATATCCCACATTTGCCAATCCAAACGTAATCAAATATCTATTCGACTCCACGGATTTATTGAGGAAGGTTTGGCTGAATGCGATGGCAATTCAACAAGCAGTGGAACCAATAATAAAGTTTTACATCACTATTTAAATACATGAGATCCACACCTTTTTACAGTAGAGCCATAAATTCGGATTTATTTGTTAGAACCCAGCAATAATCTTGATCAATCTTTCTTTCCATGCATTGCATGTGTTGTGGATAAGCATTAGTGCGACACCCACTTTCTTAGTATATGTTTGGCATTGATGTTGCAAATACAACACCGTTTTCTGAGAAAACAATGCTACTAATATGTGGGTTGGAAACACCGTTTTTTTGAGAAAATGGTGTCTTTTTTTTTTTTAGAAATATTGTTGCTAGGTAGGACATTTCCTGGACCAACAACAACGTTTTTTGTTTAGTACCAATGCTCTAGAAAACGTTTTCAGCATCGGTACCTATTATCTAGTATCACATCATGTCCTTATCATTGCCACCTCATGTACCTATTGGCAGCAATGAATTGCAACTCGAGGAAACGCCAAATTCGGCATTACTCCAAACCACGCCTTCTTAATTTCCAAGGTATGGCTTAGAGCACTATTTTTTTTATGGAAAAATGATTTGATGTTTCCTGGAACACCATTTTTTCTGATATGATACTGATGTATTGCCATTTTCTGGAGCAACGGCATCAAGTCCAACCAAATGCTTGAGCTTTCTTAAGAAAACTTTATTTTTTGGTCTCGTTCATGAACTTGTTCAAAAAGCAATTACCTCCTAATGCTGTTTTGGGAGGGAGGGGGGTAGGTAAAATAGAAATTTCATTACCTAAGGCATTTCAGGGTCTTGTGTATAGACTACAGACTTAAACTGTTGGAATTTTTAGTATGGAATGACTGCTCTTTATAAGACTGAACACTCTCATGTTTGTTAGTTTGACCCTTGAGATATTATCATCAAGCTAACCAATGGTCACTTAAACACATGTATCAATTAAGGATTCATTTGGTTTGTGGTTGGAATCAGAATTGGGATGGCTTATTCCTCTGCTTAGTTGGTGCAGGCGGGTACCAAAATTGAAATCAAATTAAATAAGATAAAATGGATTCATTTGCTTGTTAAATTTGTCAGCCCAATAACTAACAACCCACGTGGAAGAGAAATAATGAATCGACTTGGACAGTGGAATCATGCTAAGCACCCTTGATTTATACGCTTGTACTTCCGGCCTTCCGGGTCCCAGCAGCAGCAGTCGAGCTCAAGGCTGACCCATCTGTGTCGATGTTGTCGGTGTTTTCATCCTTCACCTGTCCGTCGGACCGGTGGTTCAATCACAATACCAGTTTGGATCAAAACTTCTAACCCTTCAAATTGGTTTAATTAATGACCCATTAATCAATATAAGAGGTTGAACAGTTAGGCTCAGTTTGAAAGGAGTATAAATACAAATATATACAGGAATTTGCACGCTACATATTTGTATTTATGCTCCTTTCAAACTGAGCATTAGATACATTTAGTGGCATTTCAGGTCTCTTCTTCACAAACTGTTTTCACATCCCTAACCATAAAACATTATCGTATTATCATCCCGGCATTATGGGAATCGTCTTCACATGAATGACAAGGGAGATATTTCTAATGGAGGATTATAGTATAAATGAGTAAGGATGTAGAAACAGTTTGTGGGTAGGAGATCCCATAAACATAATGATGTTTTTAACCAGACAATTAACCCGTTAAAAGTCATTCAACTGACACCTCGAAAAGTTATAAAGTTATCAGTTCATTAATTATTTTTCATGCCATGATCAACTATCAGCTCTGGTCCATCTAAATGACTGAGGCTATGTTTGGTTCTGTCAGCATTTATTAGAAAAACTTCACCACATCAATGTCACTTAGGC